AAAATGAATTCAAGCAATATCTAACACAGTGGCAAGTGACACAAGGGAGTGGTTAGGTGGTGGGGTAACTGGAGAAGCAGATAAAATTCCCAATGGTGTACATTAGATTGGAAATGTAACAGCAGTGAGAAGGATGGGATGCAGACACAAGGCATTAAGAAACTTGAAGTTTCAAGGCAGATGCTGAAGGCTAGTTCCAGCAATTGTGTGAAGTGGGGTAGGTTGTGTATGCTCAGCACAGGGTTCTAGAGGTTTTTTTTAAGGCAGTTGCAGTGTGCAAGGTGGTGGGAAACATAACCCAATGGCCAGATTCTTGCAGGACTGCACGGGACTTGGAGTGTCTTGTAGCAGGACACTAGATTCCGTACTGAAAAGATCTTCCCATACAGCCTTCAGGCAGTTAGGGCTCAGTCCTGGGAGCAATTGAATGTAGCTCGAAATTGCAGTCAGGAGATCAGAAGAAGCCCTGGGAGCTGTCTGTTGCAGTCATGATTTGTAAGAAGGCCTGAGGACCATTGATGGATCAGAGCAGCAATGATTGAAAATGAAGGAAGTGCACAAGCAATATTTACTTTGTGTAGCTGAGAAGTATTAGAGCTTGGGAAAGTGTCAGCTTAGTAAAATCTAGCTGATTTCCAGTGCTTTGGCATTGCGCTTGAGGAGGTGCTGGGGTGCAGTCTTAGAATTCCAAGGAACACAGCCTTAGAGAAGCAACCTGGTCATGAATAGCCATTGAGGCAGCTTGTGATGGAATGGCTTGTGAGTGATTTCTCAAACTAGATTTTCAATTGCAAGCTCTTGTAAATGAGACAATGTTTTAACAGATTTGGTATCACAAATGTCGGGGAGGGTTGGTGCGATGTTTGTGGAGAAATCTGATTTGTCTTGACCACATTTAATGTGCTCTGTGGGGGTGCTTAGCAGCAGTTTCTTTTTGTTACCCCTATTTACTGTTAATTCTGGATATTAAAGTATAAATTGTATATGTAGTAGATTGTTTTACTTTCAAACATAATTTAGTGTAGTTTATTTTGATTGTTCACAACTGTAGAATCTTCTGGCATTATCCTCTTAATAACTTGCCGAGATTTGAAACTTTGTCCACTTCAAACAAAAAAAAAGTTGCTTGTCCCCAACCAGGTTATAATATCCATTTGGGGATCTCATCAGGGATCATTATAATGGGACAGGCAGCTATCAAGGGCTTGGACTGCCATACTATTACTTTATTCTGTCCAGTCCCTCACCCTTAGCATCAACCCATTTTATAAATTCTTGAAACTTGTTACTCATCTCAAAGAAGGTGCAGAGAAGCATACAGTGCTTTTTCCTGAATTGCATTGAACTTCATTGAAACAGTGTAGAGGGAATGTTCAGAATGGTAATGGATGGAATATTGAAATGACAAGCCTGAGAGAGCTCAGATCGAAGAGGTACTGAGCAAAACAGGCAACTGATCTGCATTTGGTGTCCCTAGTGTAGAGAAGATTACAACATGACCAACAAATGTGCTATTCTATACTGATGAATGTACTCATCTCTCTTATGGAAATAGTGTTCATGTGAGAGAAAGTGAGTGAGCAGGTGTTGCACTTTCTACAGTTGCACCAGAAGATGTTAACAAAGTGCAGCTGTTTGAAAAGGTGGGTGAGAAGTGAAATAAGAGATCATGGCAGGAACGTTATGAAGTGCTTTGAGAGGTTAGTCATGGCTCACATCAACTCCAGCCTTGATCCTTTGCAATTCTCGTTCCAGTGCAACAGGTCCACACCAGATGTCATCTCTCTGGCCCTACACTCATTACCGGAACCTCTAGATAACAGGGATACTTATGTCAAACTCCTACATATTGACTATCGTTCTGCCTTCAACACCGTAATTCCAAATAAACTCATTTCTAAGCTCCAAGACCTTGGTCTTGGCTCCTGCCTCAGTAACTGGATCATCGACTTCCTGATCCATAGACCGCAATCAGTAAGAATAGGCAATAACACTTCCTCCATCATAATCCTCAACACCAGTGTCCCGCAAGGCTGCGTACTCAGTCCTCTACCATACTCCTACACTCATGACTGTGTGGCAACATTCTGCTTGGACTCCATTTGCAGGTTTGCTGACTAACACCACTGGTGTAGGGTGGATCTCAAACGACGATCTGACAGAAATCCAAAAAGATTGAGTGCTTAGCGACATGGTGTAAAGGCAATAATCTCACCATCAACACCAGCAAAATAAAGGAGCTGGTTATAAATGTTAGGAAGTAGAGTGGAGGGCACACCGCTGTCTACATTAGTCGTGCTGAGGTGGAAATGGTTGAGAGGGTCAAGTTGCTGGCAGTGATGATCACCAACAATCTGTCCTGGTCCATCCATGTAGATGCAATGGTCAAGAAAGCATTACACTGTCTCTACTTCCTCAGGAGGCTGAGGAAATTTGGCTTGTTCACAAGAACTCTTACCAACTTTTTATAGATGCACCTTAGAAAGTGTCCTATCTGGATACATCAAAATGTGGTTTGGCAACTGCTCTTCCCAAGACTGCAAGAAACTACAGAGAGTTGTAAACACAGCCCAGTCCATCACTCAAACCAGCCTCCCATCTATTGACTCCATCTATACTTCCCGCTGCCTTGGGAAAGCAATCAACATTATCAAAGACGCTTCCCTGGTTATACTGCCTTCCACTCTTTTCTGTCGGTCATAAGATATAAAAGTTTATATACACATACGAATAGATTGAAGAACAGCTTCTTCCCTATTGTTATTGGAGTTCTGAATGGACCTCTCAAATTTTAAATTTAATCATGATGTTGCCGTCTGTGCCCCTGCTCTACAGCCGTAGCATTGTATTTTTCGCTGTTCTCATATCCTAATGCACTTTGTATGGTATGACCTACCTGTACTGCAAGCAAAGCAAAACTTTTCACTGTACCTAGATACATGTGACAATAATAAATCAAATCAAATCAAACCAAGTCATTCCATTTAATAAAGAGAGAGGTAGGGGAAGAGGGCATTTGATACTGTGGTCAGATTACATTGTAGCTGGTAGCAATTGTGGAAGATGATCTGGCGAATGCAGAAGTTTACCTTACAAGCATATAGGAGATAACAATCTTTTTATGTTTGCTCTCTGATGCACTGAGAGCAGGAATTTATTTTAAAGTAGAGTAGTTCTCCTATTGGAGCACAATTCTCACCCTATCTATCTCTATGGCAACACAGTGATGCCATGGGTACCTCCAACAGTGTTTGTCAACCATCCAATCCAAATGAAGTTCACTTCCAAAAACCCCAGAATCAGCTGATCTGCCAATGCCAAATAAAACAAGCTCAGCTCTCACAATAGCTGTGTAGTCGATTATATTGTTCCACAAGAAGGAGAGGCACATGTTGACAATATCTGATTTGTCAATAGAGTCTGAGTCTTGTTTTCTTTATTTTAGTCTTTGTCAGTTTGTCAAAACTCAGTATAGCCAGGCTATTTAATAGAACATTGAATTCAAATTTTGATTCACTTATTAGCTTTTATTCAAAGAGATACAAATTACACATTGGGCTCCAATAGCACAGTCCTCATTCAGCCTGCTGCAATATACACATATACACTTGTAGGTCTTGAATTAAACCCTCCTGCTGAATACGGTTGCCACCCAATGATTAATAAGTAGATCAGCTGCCAACATGTTTTAAGGATAAGAAAAGAATTTATTATTTTGTTTATTCATTCGTGGAAAGTGTGCATTGCTGGCCGGGCCAGCATTTATTCCACACTGTCATTGCCCAGAGGGCTGTTAAGAGTCATATTGCTTTGGGTCTGGAATTGCATGTAAGCCAGACCAGGTAAAGATTGTAGATTTCCTTCCTTAAAGGACATTAGTGAACCAGATGGGATTTTATGATATTCAACACTGGTTACATGGCTACCATTAGGCTTGCTTTTTATGCCAGAGTTTTATTAAATTCCATTATCGACCATAGTGTGATTCAAACCCCTGTGCGCAGATTGTTAGCCTGGGGTTCTGGATTACTAGTCCTGTGACATTCCAAATATGTCACCATCTTAAAAATTGGACAAGGAACAAATTTGCGACAGAATGGCTGGTCATATAAACAAATGATCACACTTTCACTTTCTTAATCCCCCATATCTGAAACTTGTAACCGAGTTGCTGTAAAATTTATATTTATCAAATTTGTGCAGTAATAGGGGGATATAACAACAATTTAGCTTTCTATAGCAATTTCTGATGTGCAGGGAGAAGTTTGAATGCTTTGTAAGAGTGGACATTTGCAAGCTGTGAAATAAAAGTTTGGAAAAGGACATGAAACATTAAGAAAAAAGGGTGTTTAGGAACATCTTAGATGTAATAAGGGCACAGTTGTTTAGAGAGAGAATTGCAGAAAGTGGGGTCCTTGTTAACATGTACCATCAAATGACACTGCATGGTCACTTGTTTCTATATTGAATTCACAATCTTGTTCTGTTTGACTGTGATCCATTATGACCAAAGCAATAGCAAATTAAACTGATAATTTTCTAGTATTCAGCATTCCTGGTCCACAGTTTAGATCATTGTAACTGGTATATGATATACTAAAATTGAATTAAACCCTGTCTCACATTCTGTTTAGATCGGCCAAGAGTTGCTCTATAATTATTTTGAATTGTTGATCCTTAAAGCTTTGCCATGTTTATATTTGCTGTGGCAAGAAAGGAGCTGAATGAAGGATGTTCACAAGCAGTGTTTGCTTTGTGTAGCTGAGACGAAGCCTTGCAGTTTGAAACAGCCCTTTGTAACCAATAAGAGAATGCTACAAAAGAGTACAAACCATAACTATCATTGCTGTCTGCTGAAGCACATTTTAGTTTAGAGACAAATGCAGTTGAGTATAATGTGCAAGTATTCTTACAAATGCACTAACTGAAGGTCACAAATGCAATTGAGGAAGTAAATAAATGTATTATATGAATAATCTGAATCTTTATTTCATCTCTAGGCCCTTCTCTCAATAAGCTTCAACACCGAGTCAACAGTGTCAGCCACTTTCCATTGTCAGTCAGGCAGCAACCTAAAGCTACAGCTTATGTGAGCCCGACTGTTAATAATACAAATGGGATCCAGACGTCTGTCAGTTTGCATTCCATTTCGAGTACTGGTATCCCTTTACCAAATAGGCCCAGTAACACAGGTATACCAGGTCGGAGTGGCCTTCCCAGACCAACATCTGCTGTTGGAGGTAGTGGAATACCCAGAAGCAAATTAGCGCAACCTGTCCGAAGGTGAGCCATGTTTTAAGCAGTACTTTTTATCTGTGAAATAAGTGCTTTTATTCATTTGGAGGAATTTTCTACACTTGGCAGTGCTCGTGATATTGCCTTGTTATTTTATCTTGTCCAGGGACAGGTGCAAATCAGAGACTCGAGTGCAGCTTAACTTCTTTCTGCTCTATCTTGAGAAAGCAGTCCCGTTTAATGTGTGTTTTAAAAACTGATGAAGCTTAATCACTGCTCCATTTCAGACACTATACAGAGCTTAATGGAATCCATTAAGTCTTTTACTGTATCTCCTGATGTCAAGTTGTTGATGTCTTTGTTCACATGCAGGTACCTCACTTGTTTCATGTTGCATCCCCTTGTGCTTGCACAGTTTTTCCCATTAAAGATATGATATTAGTGTATTTATATAATATTAATGTGGAGGAAAGTTCACAATTATCTGTTTTTATTTCAGCTTTAGGCAGAAAGTAGATTGTGAAGTGACCTAGTGGTAACCAGATGCCAAATTTGTTTAAATATTCGGAATTTATCAATTACATGATCAATTAATCAATCAATTTCCACAAACCATATAACATATGCTATTATATAGTGGGGTGCAGGTTTTACTAGCCTAGTAGATCACCTTATGACTGGAAATTGCGGAGGGACAATAATATCAAACAGTTGTTGTTGATTATAGGTTTGTGATGAATTAGAGTGGAATGAAAGAATGTAATGGTAAGTGTATTAGTGATCATTAAACACAGAATGTAAATGGTGAGGGATTAAATATAGCAATGGGGATGGAGAAAATAAATTGTAGGAGATGAAGCACATAAGTTATGTGAATTATATCTTTAACTAGACACTGCAAATGTGCATTGGGAAAGAAATGGACCAACTGCAATTGCAGCATCATCAAACGTAATTGAGTCAAAATGAAACCAAGTTTCAGTTGTCCCGATGGCCTCTTGTACCATACCTCAGCAGCTAGTCATTATTTTAATAGTTACAACATGAAGCATAGATGAATTTAGTATAACCCAGTTGTGCAATGTGTGTATGTGTATCTTCTTTTAATAAGCTCCAAAGTAGATTGGTAATTAAGCTGTTAAGAATGTTATGTTTATATGTGCTTCCTGTTAATTTTTTCAATTCAGTTATAATGATAACCACATGTGCCAATTTGCCATGTAATTATAGCCTCTTGCCAGTGCAATACTTTGGCATGGGAGGTTATAATTGCTATGCAACAGGTTTACATATGCATTTGCATGATAGACGTGGTCATAACAATTTATAACATCAATACCAAAATATAAACTGAATTATTGCTCTAAAGTAGTGGTTAAATTATGTCTGTACACTCTGAACTAAGCATTTGTCATCCACTAAACTCCAGTTAAATTGAAAACTACAGTTGGTCTTGAGTCTTCCACGAATTTCATTACTTCACTTACTAAATATTCTACCATTGAACCAACAAGTTAAGAACAGTTAGAAGCGTCATCCTGTGTTAAAAACAACTTTGTTTTTATTGCCAGCAAATTGGCTTCAGTGTATTTGTTGAACAGTAGTGGATGTGTGGCTAACTTACATAATATATTATACCATAAACAGCTATACACAATATTAGCAAATATAATGTACTTCTATGATATACTTTCTGTAATTTTCACATAGGTGTAAATCACTTTGTCATTTATCCAATAATTCAAGGCCATCTATTAATAATTCATCCTCCAATATCAGCCATTCCTGGACAATAGGTGCACCAACAAGGATGATATTGTTTTACCTTTTTTTCTGAAAGTAAATATAATGCTATATTTTCATAACGGAAAAGAATATCTTGCATTTATGTAGTTTCTTCCTTGGTTGCCAAAATGCTTTAAAATCACTTTAGAAATTGTGAAGTGTAGTCACTATTGTACTCTCAAAAACCTACAAACTGCAATTTTGATTCCAGAAGCTCCCAGTTCTGAAGAAGAGTCATATTCAACTCAAAACTTTAACCCTTTTCTTCTCTCCACAGAGCTACCAAACGTGCTCAGTATTTCCAGCACTTTGTTTTCATTATGAAGGAATCTATTTTTTCCAAATCAAAACTGAAATACTGAAAAGTACCTACAGATAAATAATATGCAGTTTTAACTTGAAAATGAAAATTTTGTGGCCTATGATTTAACCTGCTATGTCTTTCGTTTTATCCCCAGTTTTCTTCAGCCCCCAAAGCCCCTTACAGCACTCAGTTCTCTTAAGGATGGAAGCTGGAGGGATGGCTGTTACTAACATTCGCTGTCACAGAGACTGTTTAAACAGTGAAGCTCTTACACAATGACACCCAGCTGGCTGGGTTTAGACATGTCACAAGTTGTTTGTACCTTTAGTTGGTTTCAGTGAAAATGCTAAAGCCTAGGCAAGGCACACACTTACACAAGTTTTGTTAATAAGTAATACTAAGTGAACCAACTGTTATAATGTTGTGCTTTTAAACCTTGGCCCTGTGCATTGTAATAATCTCAGACTTGCAGATGCAATACTTCCAGTGCAAGATGCCTCTTGACCAAATTCAATTTGTTTAATGTTGGGTTTGCATCATTCATGTTTCAAACAGTAGTCAGTATTTCAACGAGTATTTTGTCATAAGGGATCTTCTTTCTTTAGGAGATGAAATTAACTTTGCTGTTACTGAATTGTATTTGAACAAAACTGTCAACTCTTGAGTTGGGAACAGTTCATTTTAAGTGTATGCTGTAAACCAACACTTGTTGAGTTAAACAGTAATACCTCAACTAAAAGCAATGGTAATGAAAACTCCAATAATGTTGCATGTAATTCAGTCACAGAATTGCCACGAGTTTGAAATAATAAATTGAAATTGCCTCATGCACAATGGAAGTAATTAGCAAATGCTATCTAAGCATAAAACACACACAAAACTGTTCTCTCCTCAATTGGTACTTGTTTATTTGCGATAGCTGGCTGGAGAGTTGAATGCAAGGGACATATATAGCATAAAAGACAATCCAACAAGTCTATGGCAGTGGTCATGGGCATATTTACCACCTCCCAAAATTCTTTAACTGGCTTAGTCATTATGTCCTTTACTCCCTAGTGTGTGTAGCTAGGAGCCCATCAAATGCATCTGTACGAGCCACCTGAACAATACTTTGGGAAGCAAGTTCCACGATTCCAACCACTCTTTGGGTAAAGGTGTTTCTTCTGAATTTCCTCCTAGATTTATTAGTAATTATTAAATGTTACACTATGAAGTGAGAACCCTAATATTTTGTTTGCATTAATACGGACTTATTAAGCTAATTTTATTGACCTTTGTATCTATGCATGTAGATAACTGTGTTCTTCCACCCCATCTAGATATTTACTTTCCAATGCACTCACCCAAAGTTTAATGCCACAATGCCCTATGCTGTCACTCCCAGTGCATCAGCAGAAGGCTTTTACTTCAGTTGTAGCATATCTGCTGCCAAACAGTTGACCTGTTTGGTTTTTGTGGCTCTACAATACAATGAGTTAATCCCCTGCTGGGGAATTTACATCATTTCAAGTCTCTTGTATAATTAAGTGCTTTTATATATTTAAAAAGGTCTGATTCTAATCTTTGACCGCAGCAATCATTTTCAATAAAGCAATGTAATTTTGTCATTACTAAGAAGGTTCTAATATGGTACAGTGAGGACCGAACACAAAATTGTGGAAGTTGGCCACTAAGTGCAAGAGAAGAATAGCTCAAGCTATTTCTAGCATTTCTCTTTTCTTACCCTTCCTTTTCCAGGTACATTATTTCTGAACAGAGTTATGAAGGAAGAAGTGCAAACTGTTAACTCCTACTACTTTCCATGTTGGTCAAAATCTTCCTCATTTCTTTCAATAGTTATCCTTATGATAATGTTCCTTTGGTATGATGGTTTCTTTTTTTAAGTTCACACATGGGATTTGGGCATCGTTGGCTAGACCAATGTTTATTGCTCATCCCCAATTGCCCTAGATGGTGAGCTGCATTGTTGAATTGGTGTAGTCTTTTTATGTTGGAACACTTACAAATGATGTTTCGTCTAGATATAATAGGAAACATTTATATAATGCACCTAACAATTATTTGTTACAAATACAAACTACACATTTTACAGTGTTGCCAACCGTTTAACAATACCTGCAAGATTGTATTTCATAGTATACTGGACTATTGACAATGACTGACAGTAAATTTACTTTTAATAATTACACTAATACAGTATTGTCAAACAAAGATAATTTCTGAAAGGCATTTAGGGTGAAATTACTGTTGACTAATGGAAAGCCTGGACTGCACATTTGGTGTAGAGCCAATTGTAGTGAGCACTGCAGCAATATTTTCTTTCTGTTTTCCACAGTACCTGCAGGGTCAGCATGTCCATGAAAGTAAATTACCAACATCTTTTCATGTGCCATAGTTCACAGCCAGTAAAATTTAACAGTTATTATGTTTTGTAGCATTTGTGGGTAAGGAAATTCACAATACTATCACCACTGACTATTTTGTTGGTTTTCTGAACATTAATTTATTATGCATAAATTATTTGTACTGTTAGTTATGATTTATGACAATGCACATTGCACTTAAACCCAGCAATGACCATGTATGCGACAGTTTGAGCTGAGTTTTTTAGAACAATAAGTGATCGTTTTGCAATGTTTTATTAATATTGGTATTGAGAACAAGGTGCACTTTTTAAATGGGCACACAACAACTTAATTTTTATAGAAGTTTTACAGGACTACTTAAATGCAAATTCATGTAATAACGTTGTACAAAGGTATTACAGAAATGCCAAATACATCAATCCAGTTACTCTTGCATTTTATTAAATATTGCTTAAAAATATAATACATTATTGCCAATTGATGTAGGAATGTATTGATGATTTTATGCAATAAACTTTATTTTCCCTCCATTTTTGGATGGGTTATGCTATACTTCCAATGATAGCTTAACTTGACCAAGACCAACAAAGGTTGCTGTTACCAACATTGTTTGACATTTGCAATTTGAGTCTGAATCACTGAAAATAAAACACCTACCATGTTGCAAGTGTAACTTGTCTTCATTGTTTAATGATTTACCTTTCGTAATCCTCCAGTTCTTGGAATTGTACGTTCGGACATGTCGTGTAAAAAAGTTAAATATACCTTTGCTCCAGATATAGATACTGAGCAAAAGGAGCTGAATCACAGTGATGAATCTGGAACCTGAGTCTGTAGGGTTTCAGATGGTGTCCTCTCTTACAATCTCTTGTATACAGTTATGTTTAATAAAGCCTGCAATTGTTCACCTACCAGAGTCATAGAGTCATAGAGTTACACAGCACAGAAACAGACCCTGTGGTCCAACTCATCTGCACCAACCAGATATCCTAAACTGATCTCGTCCCATTTGCCAGCATTTGGCCCATATCCCCTCTAAACCTTTCCTATTGATGTACCCATACAGATGCCTTTTAAATGTTGCAATTGTACTAGCCTCCATCACCTCCTCTGGCAGCTCGTAACATACATATCCCTCTGCGTGAAAAAGTTGCACCTCAGGTCCCTTTTAAACCTTTGACGTCTCAGCTTAAACCCGTGTCCTCTAGTTTTTGACTCCCCTACCCTGAGAAAAAGACCTTGGCTATTCACCCTTTTCTTGCCCCTCATGATTTTATAAACTTCTATAAAGTTACCCTTCAGCCTCCAATGCTCCAGGGGAAAAAAGCCCCAGCCTATTTAGCCTCTCCCTATAGCTCAAACCGTCCAATCCTCCAATCAGAGTGATGACCTGATCTTACCACTGAGGGTAGTGGCAGTGATCAGACTCACAGAAAAAAGAAGAAACCGCATGAAGAGTCTAAAATAAAACCCAGAGACCCTAGAAGTAGGGGCAGATGTGAAAGGGAAGCTCCGCAGTGATAGAAAGCAGTCAGTGAAGGACTTCAAGGTACTCCTGGGAACTGAACTGTGGTGAGGGAAAACCTGTGCAAAAAAAAATGAAGGACACTGGAAAAATGCTAACAGAAACGAATGTCACAAGCAACAGGAAAAAAAAAACAAATGACCACAGTGAGTAAAAATAGTACTGTAGATCAGAGAAGTTGCAGGGATGGGGAAGAAATGAACTCTTAAGAAAATTCACCAGCGACAAATGTGCAAAGTAACAGGGTGGGATCAATGCCATTAAGAAACACCACTGGTTGGAGTTTGATATAGGTTCACTAATACCCAAAGAGAGAGTGGCAATCCATTGCATTTCTTTGCCAAATACAACCATGGACCAAAGCACCAATTACTTTTCACTTGCACACCATGGCAGGAGTACATACCATCTACAAGATGCACTGCAGTAACTCACCAAAGCACCTTTAACAACAGTTTCTAAATTCACAATCTCTACCCCTACAATGATAAGGTCACCAGATATATGGGAATGCCACCATCTGCAAGTTCTTCTGCAAGCCACATACCACCTTCATTTGGAACTATAGTGGTGTTCTTCCATTGTCAATGGATCACAATCTTGGAATACCCTTCTTAACAGTACTGTGGGTGTCCCAACACTTCAGGTATTGTGATTCAAGAAGGCAACTTGCCACCATCTCCCGGCAGTTAGGAGTGAACAGTAAATGCTGGCCCAGTCAGTGATGCCCACATCTTGTGAAAGAATTTAAAAAGAGAAAAGTTCATCAGTCATCAAGTGCACATTCAGGGCCTAGCATCTGAAGAGAGAGAGGGAGTGAATCCAAGATAAATGCCTTTACCTGGAGAATGTTTAAAATGTGGAGTAATTGAGGCAAGTAATACGAATGCATTTATAATGCTAAATAAACATGAGAAAGGAATACAGGGTTCTGCTGGTCAGATCAGAGAATAAGTGAGAGGAGGTAGATGTATAGCAATAACATAACTTGGGCTGAGTAGCCTTTCCCTGTGCTGTGCATTCATTGTATTTTTAAATAATCCTTGGACAACTCCTAATGTAATTAGCTTTGGGCATGTATGACCTACAAATTCTAGATAATTAGATAATTTTGCCTATCAATGTTGTTGCAGAACTGAAAGAATCCAGAGTTCTTAAACATGAAGCAGCTGAAAGACTTAGTTGACAAACTGAATTTTGTGGTGCCCTCACACAGCTGCTCTCTTGTCTGTTTGATATCGTGAACATGCAGCTGCTGTTTCATGAGGCAGTGTTTGAGGCCACTGCTGACAATTGGCCACTCATGTTGAGTATTGTTTGAAGAGAAGTACGGGAGACAACAGGGGGGCATTTTAACTGGTAATGGGTGGGCAGCAGAGGCCCCTGGCTTGTAATATCTGAATATCAGTAACTTACTGCTTGCAGAATAAGCTTCTGCTAGATTTACAGAGGAATATTTGAATTCATATTGTTGCCATTGATCTCTATATTGAATGAAATCATCTGAACCTCAAGATGATTCAGAAACAAGTCCTAAAATTTTATGACACTATTGTGGAAATTGTAATAGAAGTAGACACAGAAAGACATCCTCTTTCCATTAGGCCAAGAAAGATATCATGAGGAGAATTTGCAAAGGCAGTCCACACATTGGAGTAAAAGATAAAGTTGCCATAGTCCTTCT